CTGAATCTAAGAATCAAGGGAATAAATAATCTGATGTACAGAATGAGCTGGTGATTATAATAGAATCAGGGAGATAGAAAGGGAATGGACTGACTATTCTGGGGGGGGGAGGGGTGTGGGAGATGCGGGAAGAGACTGGACAAAAATCGTGCACCTATGGATGAGGACTGGGAGAAGAAGGGTGGGAGTGAGGGTGGGAACTGGGAGGAGGGGAGTTATGGGGGGGGAAAAAAAGAAACAAAGTAATAATTTGAACAATAAAGAATTAATAAAAAAAAGAAAAGAAAAAACAATTTAAACAAAAAAAGAAGTAAAACAAAATACCATTTATATAAATGGAATCATGTAATGCATGATTCCATTTATATAAAATATACAAAATAGACAAATCTATAGAGACAGAAAGTAGATTTGTGTGCCAGGGACTAGGTGGAGGAGAGAAAGGGGAGTGACTGCTAGTGAGTATAGGATGATAAAAATGTTCTGGAATTAAATAGTGATAATGGTTTTACAACATTGTGAATATACACAAAACACTGAATTGTACACTTTATTATTATTTTTTTGGTAAGCAAAGGTGGACATTTTATTGAAAAACAAGTACAGACTCCCACGTATGGGGAAGAGGAAAGAATCTCACAGCACAGACTCCCACATGGGGAGGAGGAAAGAGTCTCTGAATTGTACACTTTAAATAATGAATTTTGCCCTAACTGGTTTGGTTCAGTGGCTAGAGCGTCAGCCTGTGGAATGAAGGGTCCCAGGTTCAATTCCGGTCAAGGGCACATGCCTGGGTTGCGTGCAGGAGGCAACTAATCAATGATTCTCTCTCATCATTGATGTTTCTATCTCTCTCTCCCTCTCCTCTCTCTTCCTCTCTGAAATCAATTTTAAAAAATGAATTTTATGAGTTATATCTCTATAAAGCATTAAAATATCAAAATAGCTTATTAGTCGCATGTAAAATTTTTCAAACCACTTCTCCAGGCTGAATTCTGGCATTTACTCTAAGACTGGTCTTTTCTTGAGGTTACTATTACCTAAAGTAGATGTGTTTTAAGGACAATACATTGTACATGATTTTAACAGCTTTCCTTTTGTTTTCTTAAATGTTCCCCAGGTGATTTTGCTAAGATGTTTGTAGGAATAAACATTTACAAAAAAAAAAGTGTTATCAGAGTACAAATGTAAGTGGAAAGTACTTTTTCAAATAAAAAAAATTAGAAAATATTTCAATCATTTAAAAATGCATAAAATTCAAATTTAAGGCCCTAGCCAGTTGTTCAGTAGTTAGAGCACAGGTCCTCAAACTACAGCCCGCAGGCCACATGCAAATACAAATACTGTATTTATTCCCGTTTTGTTTTTTTACTTCAAAATAAGATATATGCAGTGTGCATAGGAATTTGTTCATAGTTTTTTTAAAAACTATAGTCCGGCCCTCCAACAGTCTGAGGGACAGTGAACTGGCCCCCTGTTTAAAAAGTTTGAGGACCCCTGAGTTAGAGTGTAGGCCTGCAGATCAAAGGTTTCTGGGTTCGATTCTGGTCGAGGGCATGTATCTTGGTTGCAGGCTCCTCACTGGCCGAGGCCCTGGTCAGGGCTCATGCAGGAGGCAGGCTACCAATCGATGTGTCTCTCTCACATTAATGTTTCTAGCTTTCCCTCTCTCTTCCACTCTCCCTAAAAATCAATGGAAAAATATCCTTGGGTGAGGAATAACAACAACAAAAATGTTTTTTACTTTTTGGCACAGTAATCTCATTTCTAGCAAGCAATGCTAAGAAAAGAGTAGTAAACACAATAAAATTTTATGTAAAAATATCGACCACCGAAGTTGAAAAATTTCAGTGTAAATTGTTGCAGAGGGGAATGTTTAAATTGAAGGATAAATATGCAAAAAACTATCCTAGGATAATATTAAGCATAGTTCCAAATTTGTTTTAAAATCCCATTCAATGCTAGGGGGAAATAAAAGGGGGGGAGGAATAAATGCAGCAAAATCTTATCAGTAGTTACCATTGGATTTGAGGATTGCAGGTGGTTTTAATTTTTTTTTCAATATTTTCTAAAATTTTAAACTTAATATTATGGTTGTTTTATAACTAGAAAATTAGAAAAATTATTTTAAGACTATAAAAACAAAAGCTATCCAAATTACTATACAACACGGAATTAGAATATTATTCAGCAATAAAAAGAATGAAATCTTGCCATTTGTGACAATGTGGATGGAATTAGAGGGCATTATGCTAGGTGAAATAAGTCAGACAGAGAAAGACAATATGGTATGGTTTCATTTAACATGTGAAATTTAAAAAAAATGAAACAAATGAACAAACCAAACAAAACTAAGACAGAGTCCTAGAAACAAAGAACAAGCTGATGGTTGCAGAGGGCAGAGGGTGGAAGAATGGGTAAAAAAGGAGAAGGGGAATATAGTCAATAATAGTGTGATAACTTTGCATGGTGACAGATGGTTACTAGACTTAGTGTGGTGATCACATTGTAAGGTATATAAATGTTGAATCACTATGGTACACCTGAAACTAATATAATATTGTATGCCAACTGTACTTTAATAAAAATTAAAATATATAAATAAAATAATTGTTAAATTAGGAAAAGTGACACAGCTGTCTCTGAGCAGAATTTCCTGGGCAACTCTCTGTGCATGACAATGCAGAATGTGACCTGTAGGGGTAGGGTCGCCCCATTGGACGGTTCTGAGGCCTGCCCCTCTTAAAAAAATAATGAGTTGTCTGCAGGGCTGGGTGTCTGGTTTAAATTTCCTCTACAGAAGTACATGCTTGCTGAACGCTTGCTCCCTTAATAAAAAGTCAATGAAGCTGACAGGTATCTAATTTTTTGGATCTGGGTGGCAGCCAGAAGACTGGTAAGCATTCTTAAATTTGGAGGAATTTCACCTAAGCATTAAGAATTAAGGTGAAATTCTGGTGGCACCTACTTTGGGGTTAACAGGTGGGGTGTGGAGGTGTCTGATCATTTTCTCCTGGTTTGAAAAGTAAGAGGGGTGGATGGACGGGACCCCTGTTTGAAGTGGAAGATTTCTTTTATCACTTTGTCATCAGTAGGGCCTCATTCTGAAAGCCCAGTGTATGTGTTTTAAATCAACCAATCAAGTGGGGGCTGGGGTAGGTGGTTTGTTGAATGTTCTTTCTTTTC